TACGGGTCTGCCAGGTCCTCTAGCACAAGGTAATGCAGAAATTGATCAATTATTGATTGGTAGTGTGCTACAAGCCTCTGAATTTCATAAAAAACATCATGTTAATAGCAAAGGTTTGAAGAAAGAGTTTTCAATTACATGGCAACAAGCTAAGGAGATTGTAAAGAAATGCCCTACTTGCTCTTTCTATAACCAAACGCCACTGCCTGCAGGGGCTAATCCAAAGGGCACCCAAAGGAATGAAATCTGGCAGATGGATGTGTTCCACTTTGCAGAATTTGGCAAATTAAAATATGTACACCACACCATAGACACATATTCAGGTTTTCAATGGGCTACTGCCCTGAGCTCAGAAAAGGCTGATTCAGTAATCACACATTTATTGGAAGTTATGGCCATCATGGGTATACCTGCGCAAATAAAGACAGATAATGGTCCAGCATATGTATCTAAGAAAATGAAACGCTTTTTTGATTATTATAATATAAAACACATTACAGGTATACCAAATAATCCTACAGGTCAGGCAGTTATAGAAAGATCAAATCGTACTATAAAGGATATGCTGAACAAACAGAAAGGGACTGAAAATACCCCCAGAAATAGATTACATAATGCTTTATTAACCTTGAATTTTCTTAACGCTAATGAGAAAGGAACGACAGCAGCAGAAAGACATTGGATAATGGAAAAGTCTGTTGAACTAAATCAACCGATTTATTTCAAAGATGTGCTGACCTCTCAGTGGAAGCCAGGAGATGTGCTACGTTGGGGAAGGGGTTTTGCTCTTGTTTCCACAGGAGAAGAAAAATTGTGGATACCATCAAAATTAATAAAGTTTCGATTTGAAGAGGAGAAGCCACTTGGAAAGGAGAAATGACAACTCATCCACAACGATGATATTCATACAGGTGGTAAGAAAAACATATAGAATGGGGGCAGGGTTCTGTTCTTATCTCCACAGGAAAACACTCATCTTTGAGAAATTCAAGGGACCCTGGATGTTTGGATACTGACAGATGGAAAAATACCTGCCCAATAGGAAATATCAAGAAAACTGAATGGGTTGTGTAAGTAATATTAAACCATATTTCTAAATTTATAAAGCTGGTTTTGAAGTTGGACTCTGGCTCAGTCCCTCTCCAATTCCAAGCCTGTTAGTAAGAGAAAAACCCAGAGTTTCTGGAGTTTCTGTCTCATGTCAAGAGCCATGATATGGGACAGAAAGAAATATGAGTTTAGAAAACATCTTTGCTTTTCTTCATATCTATCATACTTTTCATTGAATATATCTATCATGTCTTTCATTGAATATATATATATATATATATGTCTATATATGTCTATATGATTAATGTTTAAGTTTTTCATAATGAACAATGAGTTTTTCCTGAAGTGACATTTGAAGTTTCCAGGAAGAAGATGGGGCCCCATAACAACAACTCCACCTGGTTGATATGACGTCATGATACTGATAGCGCTACTACAAGACCTGCTTTGGGTACCAGCTGCACAGACAGTTCCAACTTGGTTAGCTGAAATGGTGCACATCTTATACAACATTTTGGCCAGACCTGCACGAAAATACTCAGAGACTATTTGCAATTTTAAAAGACATTATCTTGAAATTTAACCATCATTTTACTTTCACAGGATCCCCCAGAAAGAACGTCGCCCCTATGACAGCTGGAAGTAATTCTAGAGAACGACGTCCCCTCTCCCAGTAAAGTTTGCCCTTGGGTTTAGGGACATCATTTAGGGGTTGATTATAATTAGTATATGATTGAGGGTTGGGGGAGGAATTTTATAAGCTCAGGGATCATTTTGAAAAAAAAAAAAAGAGGGATGATGGGATAATAGACAAATATATTGGTATAGATTCTTGTATATTGATACAAAGTTAAATTATATTGACTATTGTACGCATGCATGTTTCTACCTCTGTTTAAAACATTTTTATGTATTGACATATATTGTATTGATATATATATATTGTATATATTTACCATATTGCAGTGTACATTTCTACCTCTGATTAAGATACTTATATAATATTTGTGTATTGATATATATTTACCTACTGCAATGTATATTTGTACATTGTTTATATTTGGAGGTCATTGTCCTCATTTGTTTCACAGTCGTTTATTGTCTTAGTCTTTAAGTTAGATAGATATTGAGAATTATATAGACTAATTGTCATCTAAGTTTGTCATTTATAATTAGACTAATCAGGTTCTTTAGATATATAGAGATTATACTCAGTATAGATAGATAACCTTCAACCTCTTCAAAGAGCTGTAGAAAATGGCCTTTAATCTAACTCAGAGTTTCGTGATAGTGAGACACAATTGCTCCTGGCAACACCGCTCTATTCCCGAGAGAATGTTGAGCACCAAAAACACTCCATCTGGAGCCTTTCTATTTGCCAGAACTGGCCTTTGGGCAAAGAAATGCCCATACCTCAACCACTGACACAGATACAGAGCGTGCATCAATGGATAAAACAGGACTGTCATATCCTGCCAAGACAGGGTAAGATAGTTTTGAAAAGTTCCTTGCCTTTAATAATGGTATGTCAGTTATGTTAGGCCTTAGCCAAACATTTGCTTACATACAGTGAATCAAAAGGAATCAGGACTAAATTTACATGTATAGCTTTATGTAGAAGGCCATTTGTATTAACACCTTTTGGGGAAACCTTATCATGGGAACATGTACATATTTGCATCACATATGTCACAGAATATGTAAAGGTAGACAACAAGCCCATCAAATCACAGGTGCAGCTAGCAGCTGCACGTGCACAGCAAACGGCAAGTAAGCAGTTACTTAGAACAACTACAGAAACTCTAAAAGGAAACTCAAACACATGTAGACTATGGTTTCTTCAAAGTGCTTCCATAGCGCACATTCAAACCCCAGTCAGGAAGACCTCACCCTAAGCACCATGGGGACACAGCCTTATCTCTTCTCTGGGTTCCCTGCAGGGAGTTCCCCAGCCAGTGTGTGCTGAAAGAGCACTGGGTAGTGGTTGTCTCAGACTGCAGGTCACTCAGGCTGCACAGCGGCCTCAGACAGTCTCTTGAGATGTATAAATGCAATTGACTAGTGGCTGAAGTATTACAAGAATGAGTGGATGAAGGCTACAATTGAGAAACTCACTAAAGTTGGGAGGTGGGGGCACAGGCCTTTAATCCCAGAACTCTGAAAGCAGAGGCAATTGAGTTTCTGTGAATTTGAGGCCAGCCTTGTCTACAGAGTGTGTTCTAGGACAGTCTGGGACACAATAAAGCTCCAAGTCAAAGAGAGACAGAGAGAGAGAGAGAGAGAGAGAGAGAGAGAGAGAGAGAGAGAGAAGTTTCAAGGTAGAGATACAGCAGATAGGAAGAGAGGAGGTGGGGTGTGGAGCTGGATAGCCATGGCCAGAGAAATACTAGAAGGCTCCCTAGGAGGGCAGCAGGAAGCTGGAGGCATCAAAGGTGGGGAGTGGGGGTGTGGGTGTAGCTGACCCCACAAAAGCATGCACACTGCAGCCTGGATTACTTGCCTCTGGTTGCAGTCCCTGTGGGCACTTTCCTTATCTTCAGTCCACGTTTGTTGACCAAGGTCTCCAAGGACAGAGCCAGTGAGTACCTTCTTAAGTAATCCAGGGCTCCTGGCACTGTGGATGCAGAAGCTTGGAGTCCCTGCCTTCAGGTGCCTTCCCACAGCCTGAGTGCTCCCTGGAATATGAGTCACCGGAGTGGCAACATTGCCATCCTCAGGGAGTGGGCAACAGGATTCAGGGACCCTGGAGTGGCTCTGAAAGGATCTGGGCAAACCAATGAGAACTAGGAACTGATTTTAGCTATATTAAAGAGAAACTAAAACCAACAACAGCCCAAATTTCAAAAACTTTCTGTGGGTGGAGTCATTGATAAGAGTGACTAAGACTTTCCCTTAGTTTTTGACGGCCCAAGTTGCTTCTATAGCAGCCATGTCTGGAGAAGAAACCATGGCACTGGGTGCAGCCACCAAGCTCACTCATTGCCACCTATTTCTGCCCCTGCTGATGGGCAGGATGTGTCTCAGGCTCACTGATGAGTTCCCAGAATCAGACTGTAGTGGGGGTGGGAATGAGGGTTGGAGAAACAAGGCAGAAGGCAGCCTGGGAATTCAGCTTCTCTGAACTCCTTCCAGAAGAGCCCAGGTCTCAAGTTCCTTCTTGCCTTCACCCCAGCCCTTCCCCTCTGTCCCCAGACTAGCTCTCAGGCATTCTCTGTGCTCTTAGCATTTGAACTTCTCAGTGTGCTTTAACAGAAGATCACAGCACATGCAACCAGCAGCTGCTCCACACATCTCACCCCTCTCCGAACCAAATTTGTCTTTGATGGAAGAGTTCACCCAATAGCCCAGGCTAGCCTTGTCTTCCCTCTGTATTCCAAGCTGGCCATGAACTACAAACTTCAACTCAAATGCAGGAAATGAGGGCCTGTCCCACCAAACCAAGATTTACAGCCCACTCACTTGGTTTATTGTTGAGTGACCCTCAGCTCACATCCCTTTCATGCCTTGCCTCACTAATCCACTGAGAAGAGGCTTTAAGCCCCTCATTCACTAGCTGTCAACACTCACACACCCTTGACTGAGGATACTCTCCTCCAACAAACCCACCCCTTCTCACCACACAACCCAAAGTAGAGGGTGGGGCTCCATTTCCACTGTGGGGGTCAGTTAAATGGCGCAGAGTAGGAGCACATGGAAGCTTCTGCCCTTGCACCCCAGGCCCATCTAGTCCACCTCCTGGGCAGATAATGGTATTCATTTAGGCAGCAATCAGTTTTTCTGTGAATGTCAGGCACTAAATATTTCCAAATTGGGAAGCCATACAATAGCTTCTACATCAAATACTCAAAGAGGAACAGGACACCAGATTAGGCCTCTGACCTATCCTTCTGACCCCAGATTAAACCATATGCAATATCACAATGTTGGTGCCCATCCCCCACCGCACCTACCCCAAGTGAAGTCAGAGGTTCCTTTTTCAGAGACAAGAGTGAGTGCTATGCTTCCTGTGGCTTCTGGAGACCTGGGGGTGACAGGAGGAGGGACTAATGTTTGTGACCCACTACTTTTTCCTGTGATGTCCTGTGGGTTCTTTGTCACATAACCCATGGGGACATGAACACTAAAGTTTGTGACCCACAACTCTCTCCCTCTGCTGTCCTGTGGATTCTTTGTCACATAACCCATGGGGACATGAGGTAGTAGATTAGTGGGGACCTAGTCTCTGACACATCTTCCACCTCCATGGGAAGGTGTGTTAGGTGTATTATCTAGGGAACAAGTAGGAGAAAAAGGTCTCCTACTGTGGAAGCCCTGTCCATCCAATCGACTCACTAACTGTTCCACTGTCCTGATTTCTTTCTGAGGCTCATCTCTGCATACTGGTCCTGTCTACCTAATGTGCTACCTACCTTGTAGGAGAAAAGCCCAGCTCAAGAGGGTCCCTGAGGCTTTGCAGTCACGGACAGCCCATGACCAGAGGCCCCTCTCCCAGGGTTCAATATGATGCTAAGAGCCACTTTGGATGATGCATGTTGGGGTCTGGGTTACCTGAGCATCCCGAGCTCTTGCTGCTCTTCCAGAGAAACAGAGTTCAGTTCCCAGCATTCATGCCAAGCAACACGCGACAGCCTGAAACTCTAGCTCCAAGGGATCTGAGGCTGCCGTCTGACCTCAGCAGGTGCACACATGCATGGGGACATACTCACACACAGGCACACAGATGAACACATCAGTTTGTGAAATTAAAGATGAAAAAAATAAACAAATAACATATGTTTGTATATTGCCCTGTGTCACCTGCTTGGGTCTGACCATAAGGGTCCATATTATGATTTTCCAAATAGGACCTTCCCTGTGCCATACCCAGCACCATTCCTAGTATAGATGCCTCAGAAGGATAAACTGGCATGGATCATTGGCACTATAGAACTCTATCTGTCTGCCTGTTGTTCTCTCTCTCTCTCTCTCTCTCTCTCTCTCTTTTTCTCTCGGTGTGTGTGTGTGTGTGTGTGTGTGTGTGTGTGTGCGCGCATGCGTGTGTGCATATGTGTTTGTTGCATCTCCCTGGATAGAATTATTACATCCCAATTATGAGAGAGATAGCCAGGTATTGTTGTAGAAAGCAAGGGCAACGTGACCATTCCTAACAGTTTCTATGCCAAGTTGTAGCTTTTCTCCAGGAAGCCTCTGCCATGCACACATATCACAAATCAGAGACCAGAAAAAATTGAATCCACCTTACTCCTTGTGTGAAGAAACATTACCAAGGTCTGTCACTAAACTAGAGCTGGGCCTGCAGCCCTCAGGCTCCATTGATCCTTCTGCTTGTATGTCCCGTGTCCCTGAATTTACAGGCACACCCACCCCTGCAAAATTTTTGCTTGGAAGGTTAGGAAATCAAATTCAGGTCCCCATGCTTGCACAGCAGGTCCTCTTAGCAGCTGAGCCATATTCCAGACCCCAAATTGAAGTCTATTGATCTGTCAGCCCAATACGTAGCTTCAGCTCAGACACCAAGAATGGCCAACAATCGTATGAAACAAGCTTCCTAAAGCCTCACTTGTACAATCTCCTGCCATGCTCCTTGCAGAGAAAGGCCCTTGTCTTGTGTCTACTTAGTGCTCCTGAATGGTTTGTAAGAGATATTTGCCCACTGCACTCAGTCTCCCACCGTCCTGCCATGTTAGATGTAATTGGAGTGGTGGTGATTTTTATTTAAGGGGATGTATTTATCACAGTTGAGTGGGATTTAATTATCGTTGTGGCCACACTCCTTTTCCTGTGTTGTCACTGATGGGCAGAAACCACAGCCGACTGTGCTAACTCACCAAATACCACAAGAATGAGATGAAGTGAAATATGAATTAGCATGCTCTAGATTCTCTCACAGAAAGGATGAAGTATGATATATCTGTCTCCAGATAGAAGTGTAAAGGACCATCCCAAGTTCAGATCTAGCACCTCCTGGGTGGATCACACCCCTCTCCCAGAGCCCACTTGTCACCCTTAGCCTCAGTGAAGCTCAAGATTGCCACGTCATCCTTGTTCCCACAACCCAGCCTCTAAAGTCTGTTTCTCTGGCAAAGGTCTCATAGTTTGAGCCTGTTACTGTCATAGCAGAAGCAGGAGAAATGTCTAGAAGTTGTGATGTGCTGCTGCACAGCAGGGTGACCAGAAGGATCCAGGTCCACAGTTTTGTGCAGAAGAGAGATGCTTAATAAAGTCATTTCTCAATGCAGTTTATCAGCGTTGCCCGAGGATGCTTAAATTTCAATTTTCCTTACCTAACGTATATGTGAGTAGCACAAATGAGTACGTGTTGAGTTGGGTTCACCTAAAAGCTTTTAAGAATTTGTCTATGGGGGCTGGAGTAATGGTATGTCTGTTAGCAATGCTTACTGCTCTTGCAGAAGACCTAGGCTCAATTCCCAGCACCCACATGGCAGTTCACAACCACATGGAACTCCAGTTCCAGGGGCTTCAATGCCCTCTTCTGGGCATTTCAAAGTGTCTCTCTGTATCATGAGTGGTGTAGGAGGGTCTTCTGTCTATGTGTTACTTTCATTGGTTAAATAAAGAAGCTGGTTTGGCCTTTTGATAGGCCAGCCCTTAGGTGGGTTGGAGTAGACAGAACAGAATGCTGGAAGAAAGAAAGTAGAGTCAGGCAGACGCCATGGCTCTCCTCTCTGAGACAGACACTAGTTAGGCTCATGCCGGTAAGCCACAGTCAAGTGGCAATACAGATTATTAGAAATGGGTTAGATCAATATGTGAGAGTTAGCCAATAAGGGTTTGGAGATAATGGGCCAGGCAGTGTTTAAATGAATACAATCTGTATGTTATTATTCCGGGGCTAAGCTAGCCGTGTGGGAGCCGGGCAGGACAAAAAGCAGGCCTACTCGCCTCATCACTACATATGAGTTCTCCAGAACCCATGTATATAGTGCAAAACAATCCCACACCAGTTTGGATTCAAAGGGTTATTTATTTGAGGGGAAAAACTTACAGAACACCATCCTACATGACAGCCAGGAAAGGAGTCTAGTCACTGGAGCAAGAGAGCGAGAATAATTCAGACCACAAATGGGGATTAATTAGGATTTAGAGAATACTGGGAACTTAGTTCTCTCAGTGGAACCAAGTCATGGCGAGAATCCTGGGTGTAGCTAGTAGAATTTTAATTTTCTGTTACTTTTAGTTGTACTTTTTGTCCAATGTTTAAGAGCATGAAGATGGTCCATAAATTCATTTTGTTCTTGGTGGTTGCCTCAAACGTCCCTAATCTGACCATTTTGTCAGACCAATTGTAAGCATAGAACTAAAAAACAAACCATACCAACATAACCAAGTTTTAAGTTTTAAGCTGAGGGGATGATGGCCAACTTGCAGTGAAGTGATAATGTATTCCAGGTAACTATAAGATGAATGTTTTTGTATTTTATTCACAGATATTCTTAAATTTTGCTGTTTTAAGTTTGTTTCCCATGAAAGTTAAGCACTCACTTAAGTACCAAATTATGAGCAGGAGAGGAGAATGCTGTCCATACAACAAATGACCAATACCTCGGGAAATTTTATAAGAACCGCATGCTTATATACAGAATATTGACATAATGGGAGGCTATTCTTTCATCCCCTATGGCAGAATTTTCCACACATATCGGTTATTGATTGTTTAAAGTAGGAACGGAGAATGAAAAAAGTTCTTCAGCATCAAGATTTAAAGGAAGGGAGAAAAAGCAGTCCTTTTTGGGTTTCAAGACAGGGTTTCTCTGTAGATTTGGAGCCTGTCCTGGAACTCGCTCTGTAGACCAGAGTTGGCCTATAAGTCACAGAGATCTGCCTGCTTCTGCTTCCCAAGTCCTGGGATTAAAGGCGTGTACCAACACTGCTTAGCTATAAAAAAAGGAGGCTTTTAAGTCAAGTATAATAATTTAATGTCTTTGAGGAATTACAGTAGCAGCAGGGAGCCCTGGCTGGAGAGCCCCCACTGTTTTCATAGTCACACTTATGCCCTAAGATTGTGCAACAGTCTATTTATTCTTTGTCTTGTATGAGTCATAAAAATGGGACTCGTCAAGCTGGGCAGTGTGTGCACGCCTTTAATCCCAGCACTTGGGAGGCAGAGGAAGGCAAATATCTGAGTTAGAGGCCAGCCTGGTCTTGAGTGAGTTCCAGGACAGCCAGGGCTACACAGAGAAACCTTGTCTTGAGAAAAAAATATTGGAGGAGTTCATACTGGAAAGTTTCTTTATCCCTTAGTTACATTGTTTTTTGTACTAGAAGTTGGGCCTGTTTTAGTTTCTCCCAAGATGAGGTCAATGCTCTGAGGAGGGGTGGGAATGAGGAGATAAAACTAAGTGCTGGGGTAGGCTAGCCCTAGGGCTCAGGCAATGGAGGAGCCATTCTCCCAGTCATTTGTGACAGAGAGGGCAAGCAGCCCTCCTTTGGCAGGGTGCCCTGGGGAACCTGCTAGATCCTACTGGAGGGAGGGGGAGGGAGGACGACTTTGAGTTTCCTTCCTTTGAGGGAGCCTGCAGGCAAGCAAGCAAGGCAGCAAGGAAGCAAGAGCAGCAAACAAGCAAACAAGCAAGGCAGTGAGGGCAAGGAAGGCAGCAAGAGAGCTAGGAGTTAAGAGTTTCCACACTTCTGTTTTCAGGCTTGCAACCCAGCAAGAGTCTCAGGGTGGTGGGAAGGACCTCAGTTTTCTTCTGAAAGGCCAGCATCTGAAGGGGAGGAGCATCGAAGGGGCGAGAGAGGTGAATAAGTGGAGTGGGCGTGGCGTGTGGTAAGTAGAGAGGGTCTGGGCGTGGCCGTGTATACACTATACTAATTCTAACTGTAACCGGCCTTGATACCTTGAAACCAGCTCCTGGAAACGATTTCATCCTGTCTCACTGGTTTCAGATTCTCTTGTCCACGGTCCCTGAGGGAACAGCTACAGGTGAGGTGAAGAGACCACCGAGTATGGGAGCCCTCGGTTCACATTGCACCCTTCGTGCAAGAAAGAAGGGCAGCGTACTGGGATTGAGGCAGCGCAGGGAGGGGAGTAGCCGCCGGGAAGAGGAAGGGAGCAGAGCGGGCACGAGGAGGGGAGCAAGGAGCACGGAAAAAGGGAGCGGGGAGGAGCGGGCCCAGGGAGGGGAGCGGCCATCGCAAAGAGGAGACAGGGGCAGCGCAGGCAGGCTCGGGGAGAGAAGGAGGCATAGTGAAGAAGGGAGCGGGTCAGCTCCGCCCTGGGAGGAGAAGGAGCAGCGCAGAGAGAGGAGCAGTCAGTGCGAAGAGGGGTGCGGGGCAGCGAGGGCACCGGGAGGGAAGCAGTGTAGGGGAGGAGCAAGGAGCGGACTTTGAGAAGAGGGGGAGGGAGGCGGCATGGGGTGGGGGAGGAGCCAAAGTCCGGAAGAGGGGAGGGAGGCTGCTTAGGAACTGGGAGGGGAGCAAGGCAGCACCGGTAAAGGAAGGGGTGGAGGATGAGGAGGCAGCGCCAGCAAGGGGAGAGGAGGACAGGGGAGGGCCTGGGTTTAGGGCCTCTTGATCTCTGCTTTGCTGGGCAGTGAATCACTTGGATCCCATGGGCATCGAGGACACTCCTTGAAACCTGAGGTGACAGCTTATTTGAGAACTAACCTTAGTCCCTTCCTCTAGATGAGTTACTTGGGGAACAGGAGGTGTTCTGTCAGACAAGAGTTCTGTCCCTCCCTGCTAGGCAGCTCTCAACACACTGTTATGTCCCTACAGTGATGACTCACTTCTGGATATCTTCTCTGACTGTGACCTATCCTGCTAATAACCTAGTGGGAAAGAGCCCATCACATGATGTCTGTCTGAAGCTTGGGGGGTTTTCTGATAGTCCAGGACCAGGCTGCTCTCTCCCAGGGCCCAGGACCATGCCAGGAGACAATGAAATGGAGCCTATTTTCCCTGCTGCAGGTGAGTCAGCCTGGCTTCTGCCCAAGCAAGGTGATTTTCTAATTAGACACTGCCATGAACTCCACCCAGGGCCATTTCCTAGAACTGACACCTCGGGCTGACAGATCGTCCTGGGTCATAGGGCCCTAGAGGCAGGTCCAGCCCTGCTCTTCCTGGATGTTTTTTCTCTGGCTGCTTTCACGCTATAGAGCGAGAGCTGAGCAGGTGTAACAGAGAACATCTGTCCTGTGAAGAAGACTTCAGCATTGTCAGAGTAGTGGTTACTTTTCTATTGCTGTGATAAACACCAAGGCCACAGTAACATACAGAGGGAAGGGGTTTGAGGGAATTTATAGCATCCACAGACAGCATGGACTCTGCACACTTCCCCTGGAAATGTTTGCTGTTCCACCCACTCTTGATTCCCACTCTTCCACTACCAGAATGAACCAGCCTAGATTTTCTGTGTCCTGTGTTGTGGGCTCTTCTCTGACCAATTCCAAGAGGCCATCCCTGGAGCACTGCAGTACATCCAGAGGATGGATCTCGTCTGTGTTGTTCTAGTCTCCTGCTTTTGCTGTGACAAACACTCTACCAACAGCAACTTGTGAGAAACATGGTCTTGTTCAGTGTTCTATTGCTGTGAAGAGCCACCATGACCATGGCAACTCTTAAAAAGAAAGCCTTGCTTTGGGGATTTCACAGGTTTAGTCCATTATCCTCGTGATGATGAGCATGGTGGTACCCAGGCAGATATGGTAGCTGAGAGTTCTACATCCAGATCCAAAGGCAGCAAGAAGAGACAGACTGTGGGCTTGAAATGGGCTTTTTAAACCTCAAAGCCTACCCCTGATGACACACTTCTTCCAATAAGGTAACACCTATTCAAAGTGGGACACAAACCTAATCTCTCTTAGAAATTGCCAATCCATGATGACCAAGCATTCAAATATATGGGAGGCATTCTTATTCAAACCTCCACAACTCTGACCTTGTGTAATTTTCATCCCCGGGCATCTGCCAAGGCCTGTGCCACATGCAACTGAGAGGCTGCTGACCCCAGGATGGGTCTGTCTGAGAAGGGCTTGGATAGTCTGTACTCAAAACCCCTTCATCTGTCAGGGGTCATGGGACATTGAGGTACAAGTTAATAGGTGACTTGCAGACTTCACTGTTGGCGTTCAGGGATAATTACTTTCGGACTCATAGTCTGGAGCTTTGGATTTCACTGAAAAACCTTTCCAGACAGAAACCTTCAGCTGCCAATGAACTGTCCCATCAACTGTCACAAGCCACAGAGGAAAGAGAGACCAATGGAGCCAAATGGAGAGTTCCTTAACCAGGTCACCAAAATGTTGTCCAAGGAGGATGAGCCAAAGACATAGTAGTAAAAGCATTTACTAAAGCAGACACACCCAAGTATCAAGAATCTCTTAAAGACAAGCAAAAAAGGGTGTAAGGGAACCCTCTTCTCCAGCCATGACAGGGCTGCTGCACTGCTGAGCTCTCAACAGCTCTGAGCACTTGCACGATCCCTGCCTAGAGCAGGGCTGTCAGCCTTCCCTTCAGGGAGCAAGAGAGGCTCCCAAGTCTCCAGACTATTCCCTGAGAATATTTCTGCAGTTAATGGTGCTGTGGAGTGGAAGAGACAGATTTCCTGTGTTCTGCACCTCCACTCCAGACTGCAGGCCTGCTCAGTGACTGGCTTTGTAAAGTTCATCCTTCCCTCCATTTCTACAGAGCGACTTTTACACAGCCAGCATCCACACACCCAGGATAACAACAGCTGTGCAGACAAAGCCTGCCACACTATTCCACTGTCTGCTGCTATCAAACCAAGACATGATCGCACAAACCGAATAGGCCTTATGAAAACTGAAGTTGTACCAGAGACGTTCACACACACACACACACACACCCCAGAAAGGGAACCTCTGACAGAACAGAGTACCAGCACCACGAAGATCCATCTTGGGGGACCACAGCGTTTTCTTTGGGGTTGCTAACAGGGGTGTGGTGAGGAGTTACTTACAGGAGTTGGGATCGATTCACAGCAGCTGCCTCCCTGCAGAACCCATCTCAGCCCAGGCTGTGACTCAGAGGACAGCATAGCAGGAACTGCACAGTTAGCAGGTCTTGGACAGGTCTGGGGTCTTCTCTTAAGCTGGTCAGGGTCCCCTTCTACAGCCTGGGTGAGTCCCTCTAAAACTTCTGAGTTCCTCTTTCTCAATTACAGGAAGTGCTTATTTCCTGGTCTAAGCAGGCTAGCCCTTACGCTTTAGCTATAAAAGGAAAAACTGAAAGTAACCAGTGACCTTTCCACCAAGGCAGAGGACATCCCCCACAGACAGATTAAAACAAGCCTGAAGTGTCAACTCTGCAGAGGACCCATGTTATTTGATTTCCAGTCCCTCCTTTGTTTATAATAAGTGAGATCATCCTTCGGGTACAAAGTGACAACAGCAAACAGCTTATTTATGCTTTAAGCTGTCTTCTGCTTTCTTAGGAAGGCCTTCATCCCCCAAATCACTTCCCAGTTTAACACTTCTGTCTCCAACCAATGAGAAAAAGCAGAAAGTAGAGCAGGGATGTGAAGTACAATTAATAAAAACTCGGAGAGAGTTTAATTTGAAGATCTGAAAAACAAAGCAGCTAGCCTTTGGCACTTACCTCGACCTCAGTCCAAAATGGCAATCCTGCGTCCAGGAATCTCAGAAAGAGACTGTGTCTGAGAACTGTCTCTTCCAGTTTTATAATCCGTTCTAGGGCTAGGATTAAAGGTGTGCACCACTGGGATTAAAGGCATGCACAGCCTGATTTCTACAGCAACTAGTGTGGCCACTGGGATTAGAGGTGTGTGTTACCACTGCTTGGCTGTAAGACTAACCAGTGGGACAGTTTTACTTTCGCAACCCCTAGGCAAGCTTTATTTATTAAAATACAACTGAATTGCCACTACAGGGATGTGTCCATAAATATTGATTTCAATCATCTGGTATCATTCGGAAGTCATGTGGTTCTCCAGAGTAACCTGGGAGCTTCAGACGTTCAAATCTGAGAACAAATCAAGTACAGCTACCTGATGTATAAGCACACTACACAGGGCCCTCTGCTCTAGACCAGTGGTTCTTAACTGTGGGACCCTCACCCCGTTTTCTCAAAGGAGTAAGAAGAAATTTCTTAGCAGAATGTTTCCCACGAAGACAGTAGCCTTCCCCTCTCCCACCCGGGAGATTTGAGCACAAGGTCACTTAGCCAGCCAGCTAAGAAGGTGATAAAGAAGCAGGGGGTGAGAGCACAAAAGATCTTGCACTTGTGCCAAAACAAAAGCAGCTTCAGAAACCTTCTTTGTAGTTACACCTTTAAAAGCTTACCCCCGCAGAGGAGACACATTTCTTCTCTCTAACTTGCTGCAAAGGGGTTTTGGAGACAGGGGTTCCAAACATGTTTGCATTATGCTAATTACACCTTACTTATTACAGTCTGGGCCTCTCTGGTAGTCTCTCTCTGGGGGTCATAATCTGGGCACAACATCAACCTTCCTAATGCTATAACCCTTTAATACAATTCCTCATGTTGTGGTGACCCCCAACCATAAAATTTGATTCATTGCTAATTTATGATTGTAATTTTGCTATACTTGTGAATTATAATGTAGATATCTGATATGCAGAATAACTGATGTGTGATCCCCAAAGGAGTCTTGACCTACAGGTTGAGGATCAGTTCAATTGTGCAGAATGTTAATGTCTGACTGCAATATAAGTTATATTGTATGAAAATTGTTTTTAAAAAATAGAGCCTCACACTCAAGTCTTACACAGCAGACACTTCCTTCAGAGTAATTTGTAAATCAAGTGGCATGCTTAGGAAGGGCCTTTTTTTTTGGGGGGGGGGGTTCAGTTTTCAATTACTGGACCATGACTATTATGAGGACTAACACAAGAAAAGTTTGTGGGTTTTTGTTGCTGTTGTTTTGTTAATTGAGACAGGGTTGCTTTGGAGCCAGTCCTGGAACTAGCTCTTGTAGACCAGACTGGCCTCCCGAGTGATGGGGTTAAAGGGGTGTGCCACTATGAAAGTTCATTTTTGAGCCACCAAATAGAGTTTAAAGAATATAAAGTATAGACTACTGTGGAATATTAGTTAAAGATACATTACACCCTTATATGCTGTGGACTGTTTAATGATGCAAAGATGTGTTGGATTCTTTTATGCTGCATTTGTTTAACTCTGTGAAACTGCCTACACACTTGATTGGTCTAATAAAGAGGTGAACGGTTAATAACTAATCACGAGAGAGAAATTGGTGGGGCTGGCAGGAGAAGAAAATAAATGAGAGAGTGTAGTAATATGGGCGGCGGGGCTGCATCCCCAGCACCCGGCCGCCCCCATGGCTAGCTTTACCCAAAATAATTACACGGAAACTGTATTCTTTTAATCACTGCTTGGCCCATTTCTATCTAGCCTCTTCTAGGCTAATTCTCACATATTAATTTAGCCCATTTCTAATCATCTGTGTTGCGCCCCTAGGTGCGCTTACCGGGAAGATTCTAGCCTATGTCCATCCTGGGTCAGAGCTTCATAGTGTGCATCTGCCCAGGAGCCAGGAGCATGGCGTCTCTCTGAGGCGTCTGCTCCCGAGAGGAGAGCTGCCGAGTCTGACCTCACTTCCTCTTCCTCCCAACATTTTGTTCTGTTTACTCCACCCACAGGGCCAAGCAGGTTCTTTATTGCTTAACCAATGAAATCAACAGATTGATATATGACACTCCCACATCAAGAGAGAAAAGAAGGAAGACAAGGAGAAAGGACACAAGGTGCCAGCCACACAGCCACTCAGCCAGCAATGCAGTAGGAAGTAAAAAAAAGAATAGAGAATAGAGAAGGTAAAAGTCCATAGGCAAAAGGTAAATAGGATAGTTCAAGAAAAACTGGGAAGGAACAAGCCAAGCTAAGGCCATGCATCCAGAAGAAAGAATAAATCTCTATGTATTTATTTGGGAGCCAGGTGATGATCCTACAAAGAACAAAGAATAAAAAAGACCAACTACAGTGGACAGTTTAAAAGTCATTCTATAAAATAAAATAATAAAAATGCTACCTAAAAACCATAGCAATAAATACAAAATCAGTAGCAGGAAGATTTGTGGGAAACCCTCCACCATTTTAGTGTTGAAGAACATGCTTTCATATAGCTATGTGTTAAATTGGGAATTCATAGGAAAACTAAGAAATATTTTAACATGAGAAAAAATTAACACCAAGTTTTAAAAACACAATTAATATTAAAATAACCAAGCTAGTTAAGGAGAAACCAATATTTTATTTATTAAAAGGGGAAAATTCATGAAACAGGAAATGAAAAAAATCCAAGCCCAGCAATGTCCTGTGGAAAAAGGCACACAGAGAGAGAGAGAGTGCACCTGGAGGTGCTCATGTTTTACCCTGGGTCCCATGGAAGTCACGCCCTAACAAGAGCCAACTCTTAAAGACAATTGGCTGACAAGGTTCTCCATCATCTCCCCCTTTTGTCTAAACAAGATCGATCCAAACCCAATACAAAACTATGTACAATAGGAACAGATATCAAGTATAAATTTACAAACAACATAAGCAATATTAAGCAAAAAACACATGACAAATGTTTTAATAAACATTCTATTTCAAGGAGCCTAAATCTTGCATTGGAAATAAGCATGGCTAAATCATAAGAGGAAAGTAACTATGACTATTTAATCTTTAACCCCATCAAAGGCCTAAGAAGGGAAAACTATTACTGGAGTGGATAGGAAGTGCAATCAAGCAGCTTCCAAAGTGATCAGAATGACAGAGACAATTAGCTACCTATGTAATCACCCAAAGTCTCATTTGCAACATCAAAGCAACCAACTTTGGCTAAGACCTAGCATAACTGACAGACCATTTTCAGAGGCAGAAAAGATTTCAGAACTGTCTTAACGTGTCTTGGCAAGGTTTGACAATCTTTTTCCTTGTGTCCTGCTTATCCATTTATGGATGCCATGTACTTTGTCAGTGGTTGAGGCATGGACAGTTCCTTGCCCAAAGGCCAATTGTGCCAAGAAGAAAACAAACACCGAGTGGAGTGTCTTTGGTGCTCAGCATTCTCTCAGGAATAGATTGGTGCTGTCAGGAGCAATCATGTCTCATATCAACAGAACCTTAAGTCATTTAAATGCCATATTCTATAGATCCTTGAAGTGGTTGAAGATTACCTATATAAGCAGAATACAATCTTTATGTATCTAAAGAACCTAATCAGTCTGACTGTATGTATAACAAACATGAACAACTAAATACCTGTATAACTTAAAGACTAAGGCTTCATGTCAGGATATTAAATAATCTGTAAACACTTGTGCAGCAAATGAGGACAATGACCTTAAAATGTAAACAATGTGTATCTTGTTCAAAGGTAAGAATAATATATAATACAATATGAAAATAAAGGTTGTATCAATATACAAAATGTCCTAAACAGAGGTGGAAACATGCATGTATATAATCTGACATAATAACTTTGCATAGGTGCACAAATATTGTAAGCAGAAATAACAAATATAATTTGTATCAATATATAAACACTATAATAACTCACAAATATTCACTCTATTACCCACTATTATTATCCTTTTTTTTAACAAATATAGTTTTCACCCCAGTCCTCTACCTAATTCAAGTAATAATCAATAACCCCTAAACAGTGTTCCCAACCCTGAGGACAAACTTCTTTGGGAGAGGGGGCATTGTCCTCTAGAATTGCTTCCTGCTGTCATGAGTGTGATGTTCTCTTTATGGGATCCTGTAAAAGTAAAGTGATGGTTAAGTTTCAAGATTGCTGTCTAGTATAGTTGCAAACGATTTCTGAGCAGTGGATAGGGTTTTTCCAAAGTTCTTATTTGGAGGTCTGGCCAAAATGTTATGAGAAGGTGCACCATTTCAGTAGCTGGCACCCCAAAATCAGTCTTATAGTAGTGCTATAAACATCACAATGTCATATCAATCAGGTGGAATTGTTGAT